CTTTCCAGGTTCAAGGGTTCAGCGCTTGCCCTTTGGCAACCTAAACAACAAAGTCTTTTATTCCACCACCTAGCATTTTGTGTTACGTATTCACCTAAGAAAAGGTAGGAATAACAACAAACATGAAAGGCACGCAGAGCGTGATCCAAAATTCACTGCAAAGAGATGACCTTCCTTTTGGCAGGTTTTGGATCGGGCTGTTAGAGATCTAGCTACGAGGCTGCACAGGACCAGCTCAAATAACCGCAGGGGCAGCATAATCAGGACCACATTGACGGCTCGAGGTGGTCTGCCACATTACCGGTGATATCACATTAGAGAGAAAATATCTGGATTCATAAGATACCAGAACCCTTTCTGGGATAAGATTAAATAATTTCTACTTGAAACAGTTGTCGTGAGTGCAAAACCCAAGCTAAATAAGACTTACTATAAATTGCAGAACCCCCCCCCCCTCAAATTGAAACACTTTGACACACACATGCTTGAAAGTGTCATTTTAAAATGGAAATCAAGGATCTTCTTTATCAAGGGGCATAGCAAAATGTTAAGAGTAGCTGCTTAAAGAGTCTTAAGTACAAAGTATGGGACTACTCTGCCACGACATACTACTCTTTCAATATCTGTCTGATATTTCAATATCAAACAGATATTGAAAGAGCCATAAAACCAGCAAGAACGAATCAGAGGTGGGGTCCCTGCAGCTCAAACATCTGGTCAGGACTGCAGGGCAGTTTGCACTTCACCTCTCCCACGTCCCATGTTTGCAATCAGTGAGGCACCAGGGAACAGGCAGGGTACCTGCAAGAAGTGGTATTCAACTCAAGAAACAAATGGGGAAGTTCATCTGTGGCGAAGGCCACAGAACTGTCAAACGAAAACCTTCTCATAGGATAAATCACTGGGGATTTCAAAACCACAAGAGATTGCTCCAGGGACATCTCATGCTTGCAGGTGCCTCATTGACTTTTCACACTCCAAGGGAAAGGATTGGCTAAGGTCTGCTGGTCGAGAGCTGCTGCAGATGTGGAGGTAGGTTGTATTGAGGGAAAAAGGCTGATGTTGGAATTTGCTTCTTAATGGGACCAGAGAGCACTGACCTCCAGGACAATCTGAAAGCCTGACAGCCAGGCATTTCTGTCCACGCACTAGGACTTTTCCACGGAAGAGGAGACCGTGTTGACACACTGTCAGCATCAGAAGCTGGGCATGTATTTTTACATGCTTCTGCAGCGGCACGCATAGAAACACAAAACTTTGTGGCATCTACAGCAAAATGTGCATCAAAAGGGACTCAAGGGATGCATGAGAAATCCTCAGAGCAAGGAAGCAGTCCTGGGAGAGGCCAGCCCAGATCAGCTGCTCACTAGCATGCCAACATTCATTTACAAGGAGAGAAAATGCTCCGTCGGTCACAGAGTTAAGCTGACTCAGGGCAGTGACCAGACAACATGTGAACGCAGTGACAGAGAACATGCAAACCCAACCCGAAAGCTAAACACATCCATCTAGGCTTTGCTGAAGCTGAACTGTCAGGAGTAGGTCTCATGGATCCCAACAGTAATACGTGCTGATCAGATTTCAGAGCTGGACTCGGGGAACAGAACCTGGCACCTGTGGAGCTTAGTGCTTCCACAGCACTTTAGGGGTTGAGGATGCACAGGCCATTCTCAAACACACATGGTCTCGAACCAAGCTTCAATGCCAGGGGACAGAGACGAAAGCAACAATGAAAGCTGAAGGCTTCAGAAAAGGCTCGAGAGCAACGGGTAAGAGACAAACTGTGCTAGAAAACACCTGTGGACTAGATGGCGGAACAACTAAACCAAGACAAAGGCTGTTCTTGTGGAAGATGGTTACTAAATGCAGCCCAAACACACTGAGTGCAATAAAAATGACGAGAGTGAAGCCCACCCAATAAACCAGAAAATGAGATTGTCACACGGGTGACATTTTGAAGATTTTAAAGCTCTTCACAACATCAGCAAACGCAATAGGTATGGACTCTGGAAAGCAATGCAAAGTGGTCACTACAACTGCAGACAAAGAGAAGCCGGTAAGATAACGCTTAGAAAACTGGAAACAACAGAGTACATGTGGCAGCGTATCACTGGCTCTCAGTGTGTAGGAGCCTGCTGAAGTACTGACAGTCACTGAAGAGGCATGGAGAAAACTGGGAGATGACCCTGTAAAATACCACAGGTCAACCAATTTCAGTTCCACTTAAGCAGAAGAATGTTGTGGGGAAGCAGAAATCTAATCTCCAAGCTACTAACAGAAAAATGGGAAACAGAATGAATTTCAAATAAACTTTCCGGGCAGAGGGCACACAAATATGCATTAACTATCTAACTGCAAACAGTTGACATAATGATTCATGAACTCAACTTGGGGAAAAAAAAATCAATTCCCACTGATTTAGCCATGGGCTCAGTCAGCTGAACAGACAAGTGGCATGGGAAATGAGCACAAGGACAACAGAAAATCATAAAGGAGGGAGAGGTGGCACCCAGACATAACATAAACATGAGAATGGGAAACACGGCTTAGTTCAACCTACTGTTAATTAGGAAAGGGGTTAAAATAATTTGGGTTGGCTAGCTATATTGTCACAGTAAAATAAAACAAAAGGACTCTAATCGTAGAAACGTAGGCAATAAAAGCAGAGAGAGAGAACGTACAAGGGAAGAGAGACTGCAGTACAACCACAACAGGATAATTAGGAGCAAAAGGATGGAATGCAGTAAAAGATGTTTTAAGCTGATTATCTGCAAAAATGACCTAGCAGCAAAAAAACTGTGTCAAATTTGGACAAAGTACTCAAGGACAAATTTCAGGAAACAGCTCTGTATCAGTAAGATGACCGACAACAGTCCAGTACATTTCCCTTATCTTGGTTTCTCAAGAAAAACCGCCAGTCAACCCAGCTTGTAAAGCTAAACTTCTTCCTTGCAAAAGAAAACAAGTCAGTAACTGGGAGCCAGGACGTTCCAGCTCTATGTTATGCCACGGGCCATTTGACCAGAAAGCCTTAAGCATGAAATTTAGACTCTAGCACGCAGAGATGTGACTCTACTCAAATCTGCGTTACCTTGCAGAAGAGAAATGGGGCAACCCTTTTTCTAACACCTTCAAAATTCAATTATCAAATAGTATGACTATTTCATCTTTGCAAGAGGGCAAGAGATCTGTTTTGCGGATTAAGAAGATGCAAGTCTGCCCACAGTGAGCTTAACATCTTTGCATACACTTTAGAATGAATTTCCATTTATTCTTTAGTGATGTTTGCTCTTTGTAATCAAGTTTGGAGATTATTAGATGCCTCATGAAGCTAGAAGTTAGACTCTTAATCCATTGAACCTGTGGGGTGGGGGACCAAACCCCAACACACTACGATGCACAGGTGTTGGTCCTTATTCTCCTTTCTCCTACCAGCTCTATGATTTATTTCTCCCTGATTTACCAAGAGGTACATAAAAGTAGAATGGCATCCCTTATATGGAGGGCAGTCAGCAAGTGCCAGCACACTCTGATGGGAGGGAAGCAACTACTCCATAAATCTGAAACATGTTCTGGACAACAGCAGAGTCTACACAGACCGCAAGAATGGCAGGAATCAAGCCCTCTGTGTTTACAACATCTAAAAAGAGATCTAGTGTAGAGCCACCAGTAATAAGGGGGTACCACGGCAGTGACAACCTGACTGAAACACAAACCATGGACGTTTGGAAATGTTTTGCACATTCTAAACATAAAAGGAGGTTCACCTTTTACACTGAGGTTCTCCTAAGTAGGAAGAGTTGATTAAACGACGTGTCCGGAAAACCAGCCATGTAAACAAAAGCCTGTTTTCTGGAGCAGAGGTGTCAAACTTCCTCATCTCACAGGGTCTAGTTTAATTTTTAATGACTGATCATCAACCAAGATAAACACGCCAGGCAGCAGAGTTACAATTCACTGAGGCCAGAAGGAATTTTTCCACAGTGATCCACGCTGAAACGTGGTCTTTTACAGCTTCTGAACATCTTTGTTCGGTGCTGTTTCATTGCATTTAGAAACACTTTTCTGCCCTTATCTTCCCTCCCCCCTCCCCCCCCCTTTTTTTTTTTCCCCTTTGAGTTATTTTTTCCTCTATAGCTATTCCTAAATCCATAACCCCAACGTACAGGCCTAAGTCCCAATTCCTTACCCATTCCACCATGGGCGGGGGAGAGGAACAGCCCACGCACTGTTATCTGGGAGCACAGCTACCCTCTCCCCCCAGGGTTTGAGAAAGGACCTCTGCAGTTTCCACATCTCAAAGCTGCTGGTTGAGGCTGGCCGGGACCATCTGCAGGTTTGGGCCGATGCTACCACATCTGTTGACAATGAGAACACAGCTCTTCACTGACACCACTGCTTGATTTTTTTTTTTTTTTTAAATGAAACGTAAGATTGTGCAGCTTCTAAATATGGCATACAGATCAGAAATACCTCAGCCAGAGGCAGCTCAGAGGCCTTGCTTGCATCCGACACTTCTACTCCAAAACTTTACGCGTTGTTTTAAAATCTCAGCAATGACCTTTTAGTGTTTCATTCGTAGATTATTTCCTTTTGTCGCAATACTTCTCTCCTAACTCCTCCTGAACTAGATTCAGGTACAAATCTAATATACGTTCTGGCATCCTCAGGCCTCACCAAGTTTATTTTCTGCTACCTTCTTTCTTCTTGATACATTCCTTGCACATATATACACATATACGTATATTTTTATACACATACGCGCGCACACATACATATTTAATGACGGTAAGCAAAAGACAGCTGGATCCTCTGTAAACCGAGTCGAACATGAGGCCAAAACCTTCAGACGCTTGAGAAACACGTGGGGCCTGCAAAGGCCTAGCAAAGCAGCTACTTACCTTTGAGAAGAATGTGACTAATGTCATTTGTGTGAAACCACAAATATTTATTTTTAATGAAAAAATACTTAAAGTGTGCCACAGTGTCCATATATTTCATTTGAATAGTAGTACAAAGATATGTATTTCTGAGAAAAAGTCTTAACACTGTAGAAAATAAATGTGGTTCTTAAATTATGTCAAAAGAAACCAGTAAAAAAGTAATGTTTTATACACTGGAATAAAATGAAACAATTAGTTAGAGATAATAATAAATTATAATTACAATATTTCAAATATTTGCTTCATGCTTCTTCAGCATTAGTTTCTAAATGTGTCATGTATAACAGGCCCCCAGAAGCCAGCAGTCAGAATGGTCTTTCAACGGAATTGTGGATAATAGGATGTGGATCGGAATAAAGTCCTAGAAAAATGACACCACCGTTTGTTATTTACTGATACATAAAACATCAGAACATGGCAGTTTTAGGTTTGTTTCTAACATATATTTTGTTAATGGAAATTAATTTAGTTATTTAATTAACTAATCTTTATACTTCAATGAACTAAACAGCAATTATGGTCATTAACAAGTATGTCACCCAGCACACTGCACAACTGTGCTTATGTGATGCTACACACGGTATTGGCTTTTTATACAGTCAAAGGTAACGAGAATTTGGAATAAATTTAGGCCTAATTAAGCACTGCAAAATGTTTAAAACTATAAAGTGCTTTTAAATACAAATCATTTTTGCTCTTTAGAAACAGGAAAAAATCCAAACATGCACTTAAACCTGAAACCTCCATGCCTTATACACTGCAGTTTAACAGTAAAACATCAGTTTTGTGCCATCTGTTTTAAAATTTCCTCCCCTATCCCTCCCCCTCTCCCGTCAAAAATTCAAATAGTGTCTAAATTGGATTTGTCAGGATCTTCTTGGTCATGTTTGTACATGAAGGTTAGAAGGAAGAGAGCAATATCCAGAGATGACCAGTAGGCAGTGTGTGACGTGACTGCAGACCAGTATCTGCTCTCCACAAGACCTTCTCTGAGCTCAAAATCGATCCTGTGCTCCAGTTCCACTAGAAATTGAACAAGAAACGAAAGTGTTAACAGAAGGAAAAACACCTACATATTTTTCTGTCAGCTTCTGATTCTACTCGCTCTATATAAAGTGGACATAACATCTCTGTGTTCACCTTTAACACCACACTCATCCACATTTAAAAAAAATGTACATACATTTCGTGCATGCATGTTTACCACAGACGTGACCTGAGAGTGCTTCTTAGTTCAGAGGAAAAACCCTAAAGCTTGGAAGAAGCTGATGTTTTTTTAAGCAACTGTTTTCCGTACTGTAACTATATAAATACATTTATTTATGCTCCTCATGGTAACTATATGAAAGTATCCAGCAGATGCTGGGGCACCACAAGGGAACTTTTGACTTTAGAAGACGGGTGCTCTGAACTTTCTGAAATAGAGAGACCTCCTGTATCTTTAGTGGCTATGCAAGGAGATGAACCTACGCACAAAATTACTAGCCCTTTCTGAAAATCAGCAGTCCCTACGCAGCACAAGCTCTTTTAATTTCCAGATTATTCTAAATATATTTCATCAGTTGTCCCTTCATTTCAATGGCTGTTTTGATTAATATCGCGTTCAAAGCAATTTTCACTGCGTGTTTAACTGGGCCAACGGCTAACCTATTGTTAAGGCACTTTAGTGGTTAGAAAGTCTCTACACGGAGCAAGAGAATAAAAAGAACAAAACTAAAAGCCTGCTTAGCTGCAAAAGCCAAAACCCCATATTGAGTAAAAAATGCAGCCATTTATCAAAGCCAGTTTCAAGGAATTTTAACTCTTGGCTCAAAGAATACATAAACGGAGCATCACACAAGCGCTGCCTCCACAGTCACGGCACAGCAGCACCCAGGGAGTGACAGCCCTTCATATTTTCACAGCAGTGTTTCACTGCTTTCCAAACACAGCAAGGAGAGGGAATCAGAGCCTCTGAACACTGGGAGATAACCACAGTCATTCCCACTAAGATGCACACGTTCAAAACCAGTCGCTCTGCAAAAACACGGCTCCCAACAACTCTCCCTCTCTCTCTGGTGAGGTTCCGTTACAGAAGCTTGGGCTGGGAGCCAAATCCTGCCACAAGCCATGCGGCCGCCCTCTCAGAAGCAAATACTTCGGCCACGGATTGCATCATTCTGTTTGCAGCCTCGCTGGCCTCTGCTCCGCGCTCTCCTTCTATGGCACAGAGATGAAGTTTTAAAGAGAGAGAGATGCGGGAGCTGCGTAGAAGGCCTGGAAGCACCAACCGCCCACTGCAAGGACCTCATCAAGAGCTCTACAGTGTTCGCTGTCATGCCACTGTATTTTCCTTAAGTTTAGAATGAAGTCTGCGTCCTCAATAATGACTCAGGATATCTATTGAAATTAGCAGCGATCAAGGCACTGCAACGTATCATGTGAGTGCTATCACAAGATACAGCAGCGCTACTACTTGTGACTGCTTAGATTGCAAAAACCCCGCCTTGCAACAGTGCCAATGAGAAGTTTAGAAACTGAGTCAAGCATCAATTTCTCTAAAGGAAGTACCTACGTTTTTCCAAAAAACAACTAAAATTGCACTCTGCATTCTGGGCAGTTCAGATTAGGGCAACAACCACCCCCGTTTCCAGTCATGCATGCCTTTAAACATAGATTGCTTCAAAATTGCAAATGTATGGGGAAATTTAAATTAATCCTTTTTTTTTTTTTTTTTAAACAAATGGTAAAGTGGGATTCTCTGTGGCAATTATGTTGCTTTCCCTAGTGAGAATTTAGGACATACTGAAATACAGATCTAACCAGCTAAAACTCTGCAGAATAGGGACACAGATATATTTATGCATGTATATAAATATATATGTACACACACACATATATATACATATATGCATGTATATATAGACAGAGACACATATATACGGATACACCTCTTTTAGGAGAAAAATGGAAAAAAAGGAGAATGAAGAGGGTCAGTCTTTGGAAAAAACCTAAGAGATTCAAAGAGCAGGAACAGATTCAGTTTTTATCATTCTGGAGCAACCCAAGAAAATTAAAGAGGGGCAAACGGCTCGTGTACTACTCCCACCCTCCCCCGACATACATAGGCAGCCCACTAAAGATCTGGCTTCCACAGAGAAGCTAGAAGGCAGAGAGGGTTGGTAAGGTGCAGGACAGGTCACTAACATGTGGGATCGAGAAAGCCAGAGCTGCTGTGTGGGAAAGGCGGTGTTCCAACCGTTGTGGCTTTCCTGTCATCTCCTTCTGCTCCATCTTTCCCCGTCTCAGGCATCTGTGAGGTGCTTGTACTAGATCGACCAAATCTCGAAAAAAGCATCCCTCCAAGGCCCTTGCCAATACTCGCGGCTCCTGCATTCAGCGCAAAGAAAAAACAAGCACAAGGGCAGCTAAATCAAACCACAAATTAAAGTCACTGCTACACCCATCAATTAGAGCTGAGTGACAGACAAAGAAAAACACTATTCATGCTTTTCTAGGGTGGGAGCAGCTTATCTAACTTCAGTGCATTCTTTTTAATCGTGAGACCAATCTAGCGTACAAGCGAAGGTTATAATTTGGAAACTCTAGTTAGGGAAACACAAATAAATGAGGATACTTTTGCTCCAAGAAATCTAGTTCTTTAAAGGATATATGGTAACTAGTCTTAGACTACTTACGAAAAAAGATAAAATGTTTTATAACAACATTAGTATCTTCTGAGTATAAAAATCCCATCAGGACACTTCAGGTTCTCATTAAGGGTCCTTATGTTGGCATAACAGTTACAGAGATTTAGAATTGCTATATCCCCCTTGGAAAGGATGAATTTAGGAACAGGGATGAAAAAAAGTTTTAAGAATAGATCTGTGATGTTTTCTCCTGACTTTGCTGCCACCTCATGGACATCACACTAAAATTACTAAAGTAACACAGGAAAAAGCAGTGCAGCATGATAGAACCCTGCTTTGAAATATTGCAAGTTTCTACTGAAGGATTAAACTGGTTGTATACACTTTAATCATCTGATTGGGAAGAATCCCGGTACCAGGTCACATTAGCCTTCTTCCAAATCCCATGTAGAGAGCTAAAGAAAAGGCTTGACTCAACAAAATCTGCAAGGACACGCTCAGCTATGAGCACCAGTGAAAGTGAATTTAAGCTCTGTTAAACTAAAGCTTATTTTGAATCAGAATACCAAAAAGGAACAGACTTCATATTAAAACAGCCTGAATTCCCTCATGTAAAACTATGAGTGAGAGAGAACTGTAATACTTACTTTAGGGACTGATTTTTCTCCTATTTGTCAAATTCAGAAAACGTCACAAAACAAGCTTTAAAAAATTTTCACATGAGGTAAAGTGGAAACTATTAAATCACCAGGATGTTATTTCAATAAGGAAGACAACAATAAGGCAGCAATGGCATAAACTCCCTGACCTACATCCTCTCTCTGCAAAGAGTAGTAGACTCTGCAAGTCTTGTCTGAAGCGTATGTAAACTGTCCTTTCTTCAGAGTAAATGTTAATTTGGTCTAAAACAAGCAATACACCCACACTGTACAAATACTGAAAAGAGCCAGGAACAGCTTACTTACTGTTACACCTTAAATGCCACACATGAGAACAGTGATGCTCTCCAAAGAGTAACTACCTAAAAAATGACATAAAGAGCAATTACCTAATATACTGGCTTTGCCTATGTTTGTTATGGACTCCCCATAATGGCGCCGAACCAAGACCGGTGAAGTAGTTGGGCTTGGTATAGTTGAAACACTTTCGCTATCGGTAACTGAGGTAGGTTCTTTTGTTGGGTTGAGAAAACTTGGCTTCATATGCTCATAAGGTAGAGGATTTGCAGTGTTGTACCAGTGGATCTGTACAGGCGAAATGTTGCTGTAATGTTTCAGAATTAAAGGTTCTAGTCTATAGGCCTGCAAGAGTAATTCAGAAAAGAAAATCTTGAGTATCAATAACAACTGAAAGTCACATTCCTTTCCCAATATAGAGTGCTCTTCAACCTCAGATCTCTGTAATAACAAAATCTCTGTAATAAGAGTGAAGCCTAGAAAGTGACAGAACACTGGTGTTATGTTCTGGTTCATGTTTATTTTCACAGCCTAAGAGATATACTAGCTTCCCAGCTGTTTGTACACACACATCTGCACATCCCTCTGCAACGCTTTTACTACACAGTGCTGTTAGCATCACAAAACCTACTGTTAACAGATGTTTGTTAGAATGCATTGAAAGACCAAGCTTTATATACAGCTAAACACATACTGCACGTCTCAACATGTTGACAGCGAGGAACTGGGTACGTAAACAGTTTCCTTGATGAATCTGCACTGAGCACTATGCAAACCATGAATTGGCAAGGCATCTGTGTGTTTAGAAAAAAAACACACTTGATTGATTCTTTATTGATTTTTAATTGATTCTTTGTTTTTCTTTGTTTACTAAGATATAGGAAAGCATTCTGCACTTCTTTACGTAGGAAAGAGTAAAGTTACAACTTGCAGAACGGGCCAGCTGATTGTAACCTGATCAACCACCCCAGGCTTTCAAGGAAAATTTGCCATGTGTTCCATCTTGGAAGTAGCTGGAGCTGAACAAAATCTTGAGATGAGCAGAACCAGCATGTTTTGATAGGAGTCGAAAGATATTCAGGCTTAGGCGGAGTTTAAAAATGAGCACCCCCCAAATTACTGTTCTATAATAAATGCGAAACTTTCAAATCAAGGTTCCACCAAAGAAGCTGTCAAATGCCGACCATCCTGTCTCTGAGAACAGCCAATAAAAGCTGCCTATGAAAGAGTGCAAGGACAGGGCAAAGCTATAACCAGTACTTCCCTCCTAAGTACCATCTCACCCTCTAACAATCTGCTACTCAGAACTCCTGGGGAAAACAACAGTGTCTTTGTTTTTCTACAGTAGCTTGTAAACTGCTTGTAAAGTTTTTTAACAGCATCTTTGGATAGAAACTGTTTTATAGAAGTCAGTAAGTTAAACAGAAGTTGGAACCTGACCGAGGAGAATTATTGACTGAGAAGGGTTATTTCATCTGTCTTTGCAAAAAAAAAAAAAAAAAAAGTAGAGTAATCTTGAATCTTATGCTTATTAATATGAAAAGAGAAGCAAAGTGTAGAATATATAAGGCACTGATTTGTAGAAATTGTTATTCTACAGTTATAAAACCCAAGAAATTCTACAATAACTAACAAATAACCATGTACTGGAACATGCGTGTGTTGATCCTCATGCTTTGATGATCACACATATTATCACACAGCTGATGTTTAAAAATACTCAAGGTAAAAGCTTGCAACTGCAATTAGAACTCACCACTGGATCTGTTGGATGAAAAATATTTAGTAAGCGGTTACAAATCGTTTTGGGCAGAATATGATCTTGACTACCGCTGTTTCCCGGACGGATGCCACGCAATGCCAAAAACACTGCTAATGGAGATCCCATACAGAAGAAATTCTCAACCTAAGGAAAGATTTCATCGATGTTAATAAGGAAGAAAATAATGCTTTCTAACATGGCTGGACTTGATTATTTCTCTGTGTTTCAACTGAGGGACTTGCATGGTATTAGTGAGTCAAAATAGGGACGACTGCTGTCACATACATACTATAGCATAACAGGTTAAGTTTCCCACTTCCTTTTGCTGTGAGAAGAGTGTTAAACATTGTGCTGCTACGTAGTTGGAAAACCGAGAAACAAGTTGGATATTTGCACTGAAAGAGGTCTACCAACGTTGGAAGGGCTGGAGTGAAAGGAATTTGGAGGACGCTAAGGAAACGTGGTGAGTTTCACAAGATAAGTCTGATTTCTCATGAAACACTAATGTTTCCCTAGCCAACTATAGCTCATTCTGCTAAATACACCATCGAGGAAATAGAAACGCAAGCTACACTGAGTATTAAAGACAACCTACAGAATATTTATAGTAGTTACACACACAAACAGGCTGGTGTTATGTACAACCTCTTGAAAACATCTAGTGTTAAGTGAATAGAATGGTGCTTGTCAAAAGTGCCAACACATCAGACATCAGCAATCACTATCCATGAACAGGTACAGCACACTCAGCGATTCTGCAGACTACCCTCACGTTGCCCAAAGTTACCGTGACTTTGATCTAAAAGGACTGCCTCTGACACTGAGAGGCAAGGTGAGTAAACCTGGACTGCAACCACTAACCCATCTGACAAAGGTCACTGAACATGCATCAGTGGTAACGACTTTTGGTCACTACCAACCTGGGCCGGGATTCAACAGTGACCTAGAGGTGAATGGCTTCGTATCCCATTACCAATCCTCAGACATCGTCTCCTAGAAACATCAAATGTAGAACTCTGTAGTCAAAAATATTTTCATAAGTCAAAGTTACTTTTTAACCTTTAGAATATTTTCTTATATGAAAAATTAATTTTATTGTTATCAGAACTTCGCTGTAGCTTTCCCAATAGCAGAGCCCAGTTTGCAGGGCACTACAACTGAGCAACTATTAGTGCGCTACTACTTAATCGACAAGAGAAATTCTGCATTCTTGCTAATTGCACATGAAGAATGCTTGGATTCCCAAGTGCCTCTGCTATATGTCAGCACATGAAGCAAGGGCGTGGAAATAAAGGTCCATTTCATCTATCAGATTCCAGCACTGCACAAAACATTCTTCCTCCTCTTACTTGGCATCCGTACCCCACTTCTTTCTTCCAAAAGAATGTTCAAGTCCCATTTCAATGAAAAAAAAACCTAGATCTTCAGCAAAGCCATTCAACGTCGCATGCAACAAAGCACTGCTCTTTGTCATCTGTATTGTTCCTCTGGTCTAGTTGAAAGAAGCTCTTCTTTCTCATAATTAAGCTTTACATAGATCCTTACGTTTCTGCAGTTTGGACAAAAAGCTTCCTCATCTTCAAATACAATAGAAACAGACATTCACAGTGTAATCCTTTACACTGAATAAGTAACCTTTCACCCTGTCCATCTGATATGCCTGTATCCAGTGTTTGGAGCACACAGTTACGGTCTTTCTACTTCAGAAAGAAGGCAGCAGGTACTGTGACTACCAGCTTACACTTGCTAACAGATACTTAAAAGATATTTTCATGAATTCACTTTAGGCAAGCGCAGACTAGGCAGAAAGCTCAAAAGGTAAAAAGATTCAATGGTTACAAGGTGCATGGCTTTTGTTCCCTTATGCCTACTGATAAACACAAGATTAACAACGTCCACAGACAGATGCTTTCTTTTCAGTGCAGTGTTCTTTGTTACTTATTTTCGTACGTGCACTACCCTTTCAGCATCGTCTTCCAGCTCTGGATATGCTTACGAAGGCAAAGTATACCAACAGGAGGATACTGTAAGGGGTGGCAATAGACTGGTATCAAAGCAGTGTATATTAAGAATTGAGAGTAAGCCGTCCAAAAATAATCCTTTAAATTGCAGCCATTAGACTCTTAGCATTATTGCAAAGTGGCTGAACAGAAGACTGCTGTGCAATGAAACCTACTGGGAATAGAGGACTAAAATCTTTTTGAAATACGTTTATTAATTTTGTTGTTTCTCCTTGAAGCAGGAGTGGGGAATCTCACATTTACTTCTGTAAAAGTTTAACAACAGAGAAGCAAATTTGCAGAACATGACCTTTCAGGATAGCACTTTTCTCCTGGTTACGTTCCATAAACAAAAGACATAATGAATTCATTGGTATTTTAAGTGGAAGCTGAACCAAACAGCCATCTATTCAACTCAAGACTCTGCAGTTCTTCTAGAACCAAAAAAATAGTTGAATGAGAGGACAGAAGTGGGACAATGCACCTCTTTCGCGCATAGGCAAGCGTGGGGAGTAAATAGACATGTTTAGCAGTAATGTTAAAACGGAAGACAGAGGGTGACTACAGTTTATGTGTCTATGCTGCCTTTCAGCCTGGAGGATCCCAAACATCCTCCCGGAGTGAGGAAATGCAGCCTTCTCTGTGGTAACTTCTACATGAGCTTCTACACCCAGGAACATTCTGCAACCCTAGCACTCTAAGGGAAGCGAGGAGACTTACATCAGTATTACACGGGGAATTTAACCAGGCAGTTGTGCATTGAACTACTATGGCACATTGCTGTATTCAGTTTAACGGTTTCCTCCTTTCAGATAAGGCTGCACATCAGCATCCCACTAAGCTGTCATAATTCTTGTACATGCGGGTGAATCGCTAGTATCTTACAAATCTTGACATTTGTTATCAACAATGACATCCCTGTCAGATACTGCTACATAGAAAACACAAGATCAGTTATAAGCTGGAGCTTCCTTCCAGAAGCGTTAATTCACCTATGGTTACAAAAAAAGCACTAAGGAATCCTAAAGTACTTTAAGGCAGCACATTAACAAGTCTAGATTTAAACTAATTTCCACCTCAGTACCAGGGAGCAAGTGAGGTAGACCCTGCCCTGCCCTTCCCTACCACGAAGGGAAAATCATCCTACCACACTGCTATTTTCAGGAACCACAGAGTCACAAAGAGGTTGGTATCACACCCTTCCCCATGTTTTCATGCTCTTCACCTTCTTTAGTCTTTAATTCCTATTCCTCTTACACAGCTGGTGAGGAGAAGGCTGCACTTCTAAGCGCTACATTCGTAGTGGGGACTGGGGTGTTGGCTTTGCTTTTAACCCACGCAGCTCCTAATGATTTAGCAGCTGTGTCATCGGAGGAGGAGCAGGGGAGAGTGAGCCATAAAGATACCTAACCCTCAAGTTCTCATTTTGGTGATCTTTCTGATACATTATGAGTACAAGACACTCCAAATCTTCATTTTTTTTCTCCCAAAAGGCTGATTCAGTTCCACAGATCACTTCTCCTACTAAGCACCAGCCAGCGCACTTATTCTGGCGCTTATCTTGCCAAAAGCTATGTCTGTTCTTGCTTAACATCAAGCAAATTCAATCCTGTTTAATGTAGACTAGTGATTTTCTCTCATCCTGGGAAGCTGAATATGTACAGTCCATAAAAGAGGCAACATATTGACAGTAACCAGCCCCTTTTATTACAGCTGTACACATCCGTTTGGTGGCGTAGCACAGAGCAGAGAGATCGGTGAACCAAATACTCCAGTCTCCTGCATACAGACCAAAGTAATTTGTGGATCAAACACTTGTTGTGAATAGCAGCTTGTGATCAAACTGGAGTCCTGGTCTGCCGTGAAGAGCCAAGATGCTGGTACCTACAAAGCAGTTACTTCTCTCTCAACTAGCTCCCCTCACCCCTTGTAAGCTGGACTGGCTTGCTGAGGAGAAATCATCTCTCAGTAACATCCTGTTGAAATCTTCCTTTGGGAGAAGCACCTTGCTACCACATTCACAGAAAGCCTCTCTTCCCCTTGAGCAGGCACAGTACTCAAGCAATGAGAGTCCCTAGCATAAAACTTCATATAAATGAAATGTCTTTCTATCAGAAAGGGAAAGAAAAAAGATGTGCAGCAACAGGAAATTACTTAGCAGTAATTTGGGTTGATACAGTCCTCTTCCTTTCCTCCCTTCTTTTCCCCTCCCTTCCTGCTCACTCTAAAAGGTTTTTTTTTTTTAAACCTGCAGTTTGAACACAACTGGGTGAAGAATAATCTCTGCACAGAGCTGCAGAAGTATCAGTCTGACTCCATCTTCCTTGACGGCAGAGATAATAGCACAATATATGCTTTTAAGCAGTGATGAAAAGGAGAAGGCTATGACAAATTGAACTATGGTTAGTTTTCTCTTCATTATGGCTTATGATTGACCTTGGCTTCTAGGAGTCCTTCTGAATTCAGAAGGATAGAAAGATCGCAAGTTAAGAAAAAAAATAACCTATTTTTTCTCATCTATCATGTCACATTTTTATCATTTAATATTTCAGGACACACTAGAGCAACTAGAAAGTGTTGCACATCCCACCAAGAAGCTAGAAAATTATATTTCCCAATGCTATGAATTTCTAGCAATTTATATAGTCAACTAGCAATCAATCTGCTTCATGGGACTAAAAGTAACTTGTCCTAACTCTCAGACCAGAGTAATTTGGAAGGAAAAATCCACTGCTGGAGGAAGTTCAGTCAGATTTGAAGCTGCTCAAAGGTGTGACATGTTAGAAGCAGTTCCCAAGAAAAATGGATTAGTAGACAAAGTAGGAGTGAAATTGTTTAACATGCATGATTAGTGAAATTTATCAAATGACTTTACAATCACACATGGGTGTGTGGGTGTATGTGTGTAATATATTACAATGATTTATATACATGTTTATATATTTACTTAAACATATCTTTGTAATAAGAACACATGAATACAGTAACGTGTTTACACATGCACACACGCAGTACAATCAATAAATTAAAATTATTCTTTCAACATTATCTCTAGGGAAATAGAAGAACATGTAATTAGAATACCTCATACTGCAGGTGTATTTTTAAAGCAAGTAGAACATATGGTAAAAACCTCTCAGACAGGCATACCTTAAATTTTAAGACAGGCGTTTTTGCTACAGTGGATGCCTTTAATCCATGTAACCTCTCTTCTATCTCTCTCAACCTAGAAAAAAAGGAAATCTTTCTGAGATACAGCAGAAAATGTAGCATTAACTTCTCTGATCCAAACAGGCAGTTCTGCAGGGTCTGAAGGTTGCGTCTGTTAGGAAAAGAGAGCGTCAGCCTAAGCATTTCCAATTTATTAAGAAACAATGCATGTAAACCCTGTTTCTCTGACCATGGAAGGAGTCAAACAAGAGGTGACGGTTTCTTTGTTCACTACTCCAAACACCTTCCCATCCTCTTTCCTCAGGAGCAGGTGGCTCACTTCTGCTTCCTTGGTGCTTTTGCTGCTTTATGCAACCAAATCACCTGTTTTGTTACCAGACCAAGAGGAAAATCTCTAGCCCAATCATTTTGGAGCTCCGTATTGTGGTGGAATATCTGGAGTGTCCCACCTTCTTCAACTGTCATTAACAAAAGGTCGTTTACCTGTTCTTCTAGTTACCTTGAATAAAAAAGTAGCTACAATATAAAGCACCTGCAATGGACTGGTACAACTGTCTAATTCCAGCACTAGAGCATCTAGAACTGGAGTTCCCAAAGAGCATTTTACAAATAAAAATATTAAGCTTAACTTCTGCCATCTTGATTAGCAAAAAACAAGTTTGGAGCTACAGCTTTTTGAAAAGAAGCACCTTCAAAAAAGTCTGCATGTTTTAAGAAATGTGATTTGGTCTTAAAAAGGAAAGCACGCAGAACTTTTAACTCTCGTCAAATATTGTCAAAGGGTTCCAATACATAAACTCACATGCTATACATATATTATTCTACAACCTAGAATACTTGCACACGTTGTCATGCACTGCTCAGGTGTAAGCACCTTCAGAAATCTAGTATGAGTTTGCTAACATTTAAGAAGTGGAAATCCAGAAGTTACAGGGCATTAGTAGCATATTTTCTGAAGTTTCAGACTGAATTACACTAACACTGTTTATGAAGAGGAGAAGCACTCTGTTTATATAGACATGCCTGTGTCAAGTTATATTTAGATTACTGTTGGATCAGCGTTAGATTCACTTTAGTGAATGCCTAAGGAATGGGAGCAGAAGCGTGAAAATGGTAAATTTTCACTGGTCATACACCTGAAGGGTCATCTCACCACTGGGCAACTTCACTTGGTCTCTTATTTATCTTCTCTCAGAAAGGCTGCACTTTATTCAGCCTTGGGGCTGACAGAGATGTCCTGTGCCAACTGGTAATTACATACAGACTGATTTCAAGCACTGCAGGAGATCTGAAGCTGTATTAGAGCTTCCAAAATACCACCAATACTAAGATATTTTTCAAGAAGGAAGAGAAGAGAACTGTGATCACAATTTACCCTCACTTCCCACTGCAAAGATTCAAGTTGTAGCTACTATTTTCAGATTCTCCATATATGGATGTCTTATACCAACTCGATGTCCAGGTTAAAGCAGGGAAGTGACCTTAACACTGTGGAGTCATCATCATGATCCGCAAGGTCTTCTAACACCGAGAATCCCTACCAACACCGAGAATCCCTACCAACGCTTGCAAGCCGCTGAAACTGTGATCTTATTTGACACAGTACACAGCGCTGCTTCACACTCAAAACAGTTGCATTAATGTTTCTAGATGGCAGCAAGCAGCAGTGGGTAAATGATCCACAGCAGAATAAACCCCATAAGCCCAAACACTCAGCTGCAATTACAACATCTGTATCCAGCTGGTGGAGCTCAACTTTCAGGCTGCTCCTAAGAGAAAACCTTTCACTCCTGCCTAGAAATTCGAGGATTTCACTACTCAGGTTTCACTAGTCTGCTCAGTGTTACTGCTTATTGCCCACCTGCAAGCTACTTTGCTGTGTGTGTTTTCCTCAAGGATCTTAAGGGCTAATGGCCTGACCTTCTATCCTTCTTCCTGGCTAGAAGTGGCTCCCAGTGTATCTGAGCAGTGAACAGCAGCAGCTAGTTGTTCGGTTCTGGTACAGTGCGCAAGATGTGGGTTCAGACTCCTATTAGCAACACCGGCTGGCTCCCTTTGCCTGCTTAGTCCTGCCTTTGGCATTTACCACTGCCATTCAGCACCAACAGGAAAACATCAGCCACAAAAGATAACGGTCTTGGTGGATTCTGGAAACATCTGAAGGGCATCATCTTGGGATGCGCTTTCTTCGCTAGTAATGGGGAAGTGGATACATTACCGTTGTTTAGTTATGTAAAGTTCTTCAAGTAAACGTTGCTCCTCATAGCTCATCCAATGGTCTTCAAGCTCTTCCTCCTCCTTCTGCAGCAACTGTTCATAAAGCCGAACAGGGTTCCAGCCGATCATTATGTCGTAGGTGATGACACAGCCCAGCGAGTGGGACACAATCGAGACTTTCCCTCCTTTCTCCTCAAACTCTGGATTCCGAGAGCAGAAAAGCGTGTATAGTCGGTTTAGCTCCTGCTGCAGCCCTTTGACAAGCTGTTTTAAGAGGGGAAGGCAAGAAGGCTTAATATTAACAGCTTACACTTCTGTGCATGTTCACACGTCTTCACCTACTACACAGACCAGCTTCTCAAACATACATCTAGGACAAGCATGATCTTCTAGTTCACTTAGACTTGGAAGATGAGCAAAATCTTAGGGTCAATTCAACTCTCTGCTGTCTTTAAAATAGCCCTCCAAATCCCCACCTATAAAACTGAACAAAGGAATCTTAGCTCGAGGGACACTGACTTCTTTACAGCAGCAACTGGATAGCTGACTGTTCCTGACTCCAGTGGTCCATCTCTTCCCTTCAGGCCCAGTAGAAACCACTAAGCAGGACATGTGATAACCCTAGACCAGCTGGGCTTCACAGCCCAAGGCATTAAAGGCATTACATTGAAATAAATCCTTAAAAAATAACAGATACTTAAAGCACTTAACAGCATCCTCTGAGCAATAGCAGTGTACTCAGTTTTCATTAATAGCACAACAGCAACTATTAACACCCCTGGATTTCCCTTACTGGTTGTTTCTCCCCCCGTTTCTCTACCTTTTTACAGCACTGCATGTTTCTCCTATGTCAGAGGTTCAGCTCCTTTTTTTAATCCAAGAAGGCTGGCAATAGAAGGGGCATTAGCCTGGGCCACATGCGATCTGGAATCAACTCACATCTCTGCCACAAGATCTGCATGTAACCCTAGACAACTCATGCTCTCCCTTCTCCATTTATGAAAATGAGGTAACAGCATTCCTACCTTTCTGTAGGGGACTGGGAAGATATATCCATTAAAACTGAGATGGCCAGATACTACGACGACAGCCTAAATGGGTTCTGGGAAAATATCCTCAAATTCCTTTCAGATCTTTGTAAAACATACTTGAACTCATCATAACCTTCATTATTCTGCTCACTGCTCAGCTACAAGGGGACCAAGTGTTCTGTCCTATTTATTCTCCTGCCATAATGCACTTACTGTAATTTTTCCAAAAGAATCAGACTGAAATGATGCCACTGAAAAATAAAAAGCCTCATCTCAGGCAGAAGGAAGATATGCAAGAAGAAAAAGTACAAATGAGACAGGAAGACCGAGGGTTTGAACATTTGATATAAACAACGCTAAGGAAAAGAATAAACTTTTTTGCTTGTGGGTTTCTGGGTTTTTTTGGAGGCAGGGAACAGGAATGCAACATAGTTTTCAGACATGGCAGGCTACTCCTATACTACTACTGAGATAACTATATATTGATCCAACGTTAATTGGATCCTTCAGAGGCTTATTTGCTTCAAATTCTGCACTAAGGTACGCATGTGTGAAAACGTTAAGATTCACAGAAAAAACTTATTTAGGGAGAAATATTAAAAGCCATGAAATTAAAGAATGAGACAATATAAATAAGGCAGCTCTGCTTGTGAAACTCGACACGGTAACTGAGCAGTGCTCCCAGGCAGTGGCACAAAGGAGGACAAACGCAAAATTGCAAATCATTCCCTTGTTAGCGACAGGAAATTAATGCTACAGAACATGCAATTTGAACATGATTTTTCAAGTGCCTGAATCATTACTGAATATAAATATGAATGGCAGTAGGACTGCAAGTGTTTGATACACATTTTACTGAGACGGAAACCACACAACAAACGTTATGCCTCAAAGCACGGTGAAATGATTAACAAAGACTTGCAGCAGCTCAGGGAAAAAAGTACCATCATTCCCATTTCTGAGTCTCTTTGGCTGTGATGCTGCCTATTTTTGCATTTGGCTCTATGCAGACTTTGGGCACTACTTTTACACATGAACAAACAGGCAGAGGTTTAGCAAGAGTCAGGGCTGGAAATAGAAATCAGGACTAGATTTGGCTGACACTTTTCCATTTGAAAAGGTTTTGATTAAAACCCAGGGCAAAATAAGAGAGATCTGTTGAAAGCAAAGTGTTTTGGGATACCTGGCAGGAGCCTAGTGAAACGAGGGAGCGCTGTGTGCCTGCAGTTTGGCTGGCTGATGTGGTACCCCCAGGGGTGCCAACGCACATCGCCCTGCCGTCAGGGCCGCAGCAGGGAGCCCCGGACCGGGGACTCCCGGCCCCACAGCAGATGCTCTGGCTGGAGCATCAGCTCTGCTTCCAGAGCAGGCAGCGCAGAAACACCAAGCAAACGGTGCTGGGCTGATCCCAGCAGGGAGAAAGTAATGACAGGGCTCCTGACTGCTACGTCGTTTTAAAAATCGCTAAACAGGCTATATTAATATATCTCAATGTCTCTCTCCAAATTTTCTCTCTGGCGGGAAGTTAGAAATAAGACACACAAACAACTCAGTTGCTTCCTTCACTTTCTCATTGCGCAAAAACTATCGCTCCCAGTGTACTGACCGTCTTGCTCAACAGTCCTGTACCCTACTCTCCAGTACCCTACTCCTTCATAGCCCGTTTCCTTGGAAAAACAGAGGTCTTCCGGGAAGAATGATATTATGCCAGCCTCCCCCACTGCTCATACGCACAGAGCGGACAAGGCATTTATGGCATTTCATTACAAAGGTCTTGTTCTCTCTCAGTTTTGGGGCATAAATCACACCCAGAAAGTCCAAGCACATTTTTAACTGTCTTGCTCCTTAAAAACATGTTGTTATTGAGGTGTTAGGCAAAAGCAAGGACAGCAAGAAGAAACCATGCAGCAATTTCCCCAACAGCTGCATATTCAGAAGTTTATGGACCAGATTACAGCTTTTAATTCAACCAGATCATCTGACAGAGATTGCTTCTAAATCCCAAATCATTGGTTACCTTATTTAGTTGTACAGTAGAAGGTCCTGCTGTAGCAAGGCCTCCTGATTTTCAGGCACCATAAATGGTCTACTTTGCTGCTATGACAAAAAAAAAACCCTCCAAACCCTCAAACTGCAGTGGCTGCTTATAGATATTTTCATCTTGCCAACAGCTCTGTATCAGTACTCGGATAATATAATTGAACCTTTTGGTATTTAGTAAGTGGAAAAAAAGAAAAGAAAAAGCACCTTCCATTTTAAGTCCTAGCTAAAAATGATTTGGTTAAGCAGTATAGGAAGTTAAAAAAAATACTTAACCCTGATTTACTTTCTCACTCTTCATAAACATACAATATCCTGACCTGTAAAAGAACAACTAGGTTTGAAAAGGGCTTTAGTCCCATAAGTGTAATTTTAAGTCTTTTAAAATCTGTTTTGTCATTACAGCCTGATATATACCCTAACTCCCCATATATAGGTGCCTTCTGTAAATATCAACCTTCCGTATATTTGTTAAAATTAGTGACTCTTTTCACTGAAATTTAATATGAAAAATGTACCTACCTATGAAATTCTCTCTCAAACTCCATCATGGTAATTAGAGCCAACTTTTTAAGAACTGACTTTTTTCTATCTACAGCCTTTGCTTTTGCTCTTTCTAAAGGATTTACGGGAGTTCACTTACTTCAAGAAAAACAACAAAGCAACAAACACCATCTCCCTCACCTCCCCCCCCAAAACCCCCCCCCCCCCACAAAATCCCTAGTTGCTGCTCCATGGTATATACTTTGATATACCTTGTTGTAAGGCTGTAAGTACAGATTGGGGCAAAGGGGGCACCATCTCAAGACTGGTCTCCTGCTGGTTCACAGTTTTCCTGCTCTCAAGTGCTACAGCTAAAACAAATCACCTCCCAGTAACGAAGCCTTGTACCCACTAATTTCCCCTTTGTTACTGCCAACCCTAAGCCTCACTTGTAACGCAACGTGAACAGACCCCTCTCTCCGTTTCTATCTCCTCTCTTGCCTCCCCGTTCCCTAGTTGATCTTACTTTGGGGATAAGTGAGAGAGACTATTCACAAAGAGCCGTTTCTCCAGCCGTACAGCAGCGCTGTTCTCTCGCACTCCTCCACAGGAGGGCTTTTAGTAAGGTTTTTCCCACAGAATGGCTAGAGTTCCCTTGATTTTTTTTCCCAACCAATACTACCATTTCCTAAGGCTTCTCCCACAGACTAAACAGCTCAAATATTTCACAAAAGAACAAATGTGTCAGGAATCAACTGAGCCAATTTTTTCCAAGCAGCTGCTCCCACTAACTGTGTTTCCTGCTCTGCCTGCTAATCTGCTGGCTGCTCAGCTCAGTTTGGTTACCCTCAGTGAAATGCACCCTACTTACAAATCCATTACTGAAGGGACTGAAAAATGGTAACAAAGGGAGCGCTTCCTATTTCTTCAAAAATAAGTTATATCAAGTCCCCTTCATCTCAATTGACCTTCCTACCACAACATTAGTTGAGCGTAAGCTTGAGCACACTGCGCAACACTCGAAAGAAAGGTACGGAACATTTTCCAACGGTCCTGCTTTCTTTCCCAGAAAAATCTTTTCTCCCTGTTCTAATTTTGAGGGAAAATTCCCAAAGGCAGAAGCCTTCTCCTGCTGTGCTCAGTAGAACTCCAAAAGTGCGTGCTGCAAAAGACAAGCGTGATGCCACTGATAGCTAGTGTAGAAATCTCTTTGCTTCCTTTGTACGGCACTCTGCACTGCTTCCTCTTCGAGTACTCTTGCATCTTTTGCCCTAGCTCCAGCACTTCTCCGCAGACCAGTCTGCCTTTCCAGGCTTCCAGACACGTGTGCAGAAACCCCACCTGCGTGCTCCACATTTGCTGAAGGGTGGGGAAAAAACAGGAGCAACTCATTCCTGAGCACCTTTCACAAACTAGTTGTTTCAGTGCAAAAGTTTGGTGCAGATTTAAAATGCTATCAGCCTTGCAGATGCAACACTGCAAATACTCATGAATGTCCAGTGAAAATGAAATACAAATAAAGCAGGACTTCACAATGCCTGAAGCCTTTAATACAGGCAAGTTTCACAGAGAGATTTTATGGTAAGCCATAATCAGGCACATTAAGCTCCCCACAATTCTCAGACTGGGTAGGGAGCCTTTATGTACTATTAAATTTTCAGACCTGCTGAATGCCAGGAGAAGCACAGATATACTTCAGATGCAGCCTTT